GGAAGAGGAAGGAGGGGAAGGGGAGGGGGAGGAAGAAGAGGGGGAAGAAGAGGAAAAAGGGGAGGAAGAGGAAGAGGAGGAGGGGGGGAGGTCACCATCCCCGCCTCCTCTCCCTAGCCTACCTTGCGGGGTCGTTGTGCGAGGACCTCCCCTTCTCCCCTCCTCCCCTCTACCTCCCCGTCCCCCTACCTCCTCCAGGTACTCCCCCAACTGCGCGGCCACGTCCACCTCCCAGTTCTTGGTCAGGTCGCGGATGGGCTGCAAGAAGTGCATGAAACGCGACTCCACGTCCTCCATGGCTGCGGGCGGCGGCGGCGGCCGTTTTGCTTTTCCCGCCCGGCCGGTGACGCCATCGTCGCGCGACGCGGAGAGGACGGCGTCGTCGTCGTCGTCATAGCGCGCGCGGGCGACGGCGGTTGACGTCACGCGTCCTCGGCCCGCCCCCGGCGTTCTATCCCCGCCCCCTCTCCCCCCCCCCCCCCCGGCTACGTTGTAGCGAGGCGGGGCTGGAGCGGCGGGAGCGAAGGTGCGATGGGCTCGGAGGCGCCTCGCCTGGCCCGGCAGCTCTTCCTGCGCGGCACAGCCGCTGTCTTCCTGGCCGCCTTCGCCTCGCTTTACGTCCAGCTGCCCGGTGAGCCTGCGGCGGCGGCGGCCCCAGAGAGCGGGTGGGCGCTTTGCACATGCCCCGGGGCGCCCTCGCCCTGCCTGCCCGGCGGCGGCGGCCAAAAGTCCTCGCAGCCGCGGCGTCCGGGGAAGGAAGAGTGCGGGGAGGAGGAGGAGAAGGGAGGGAGGGCTGTGTCCCGCTTAGTGACCTTGCGGGGCCCAGAGTTCCGCGGCCTCTCGGACCCGCCTTGGGACCGCTTCCCACGACCGTTGCCGAGACTGACCCGCGACCCGCTTGTGTGAATGCAGCGCTCCCTCCGCCCGGGCGAAAAGAAAAAGCGGATTCTCGCGGGGGGGGGTTCGGGAGCGGGGAAAACGGGGTTTCTCCCCCCATACTTTCTCCGTCCGCCTCTGGGTCCAGCTGCGGCTCCGGCCCCGTCCACGTGTCCCCGCGGATGGGAGGGGCCTTGGCAGCGGGCAGGTCCCGGGGAAGGAAGGGCTGGGGAAGGGGCTGGTCTCTCCGGGCAGAGGATCCCCCTCCTCCGGCTTTGCTTTGGGAGGGAGCCCGGATTGCGTGGAGGGGGGGCGGCTCTTGGGCCGGCCGAGGGTCTCCTGGCCCTTCGGAACGTCTGAACGGGGCCCCAGTCCCTCACCAAAGGAACCCCGTGTCCTCACGTGCCCTCCAGAGGCCCGACGCGTGTCTTGGACCCCGCTGAGGGTCCAACCCCGGCATTTCCCCCCCATATCTCCTTGCCCCCCCCATATCTCCTTGCCCCCCCAACCCCCTTTATCTCCTCCCACCGTATGTCTTTGCCCCCCCCATTTCCTGCCCCCCCCCCCAATAAAACCTGGGTTGAACCAAGCCTTGTTTGGGGGGGCTTCCTCTTATATGAGGTTCTCCCCCGCCCCCCCTCCACAGTGCTGGTGGCCCCACTCGCTTTGGGGATGTGGGGGGGGGGGCTTCAAAGACTTTTAAATGGGAGGAAGATGGACCCATGGGGGGGGTGGCTTTCCTGCTTGGGACCCCCCCCCGCCTCCCCTTTTCACAGCAGCCCCTGGACGAGAGTGGGCAAGGGGGCTTGGCCTGGCTGTGGGGGTCTCTCTCTTTTTCTGCATCAAGAATTGCTCTCCTCTTCTGCCCCTCCCCCGGCTTTAGCCCCGCCCCTTTTCCCC